GCTCCTGACATACCTACTCCTCGCACTTACGCTGAGGCAGTGTCAGGGCCTTGGGCCTCTTAGTGGAGAGCTGCCATGGACGCAGAGATGGCCTCCTACAGGTCCACATGCACTTACGTTGACGAGGTTCCCCCCCCAGGGGCGAACATTGTTGACGGCATGTGGATCTTCAAGGTGAAGCGGCCGCCGGGATCTCCCCCAGTCTTCAAGGCACGCTACGTGGCTAGAGGGTTCAGTCAGCGCGAGGGGGTTGACTTCTTTCAGACCTTCGCGCCCACCCCAAAGATGACCACTCTTCGGGTGTTACTGCACGTAGCAGCGCAGAGAGACTACGAGCTACACTCTCTTGACTTCTCCACTGCCTTCCTCCAGGGCTGCTTACACGAGGAGATCTGGCTGCGTCGTCCTCCGGGCTTCACTGGCACTTTCCCGCCTGGGACCCAGTGGAACCTCAGACGACCGGTCTACGGTCTTCGCCAGGCACCCCGTGAGTGGCACGACACTCTCCGCTCTACTCTCTCCGACCTCGGGTTTGAGCCGTCTTCCGCCGACCCGTCGCTGTTTGTTCGTCGTGGTCGTACACCTTTCTTCGTCCTAGTCTACGTTGACGACTTGGTTTTTGCCACGGCCGACACAGCTGCACTGGCGGAGGTGAAGTCCGAACTGCAGAAGAGACACACCTGCACTGACCTTGGGGAACTGCGCCGCTACCTTGGCCTGCAGATCTCCAGGGACAGAGCCGCTCGCACTATCACTCTCACTCAGTCACACATGGTGCAGCAGGTTCTTCAGCGGTTCGGGCTTCAGGACTCTTCTCCTGCCCCCACTCCTCTTGCTGTAAACCACAGACTCACTGGGCCTTTTCCTGACGAGCCGTTCGAGCCCAGTGGTCCCTACGCAGAGCTGGTGGGCTGCCTCATGTACCTGATGACGTGCACTCGCCCGTACCTCGCCTTCCCCCTTAGCATCCTGTCTCGCTTTGTTGCGACTGGGAGACACCGTCCTGTTCACTGGGCGGCGGCTAAGAGGGTGGCGAAGTACCTTGGCGCGACATCAGGCATGGGGCTTGTACTTGGAGGGACACAGCCAGTTGTACTCACCGGTCACTGTGACTCTTCCTACGCTGACGACGTTGAGACTCAGAGGTCTACGCAGGGTTACTGTTTCAGCCTGGGTTCTGGAGCTGTTTCGTGGAGGTCTACTCGGTCCTCCTCTGTTGCGACTTCTACCGCAGAGGCCGAGATCTACGCTGGGGCCCTTGCTGCTCAGGAGCTACGCTGGTTGACCTTTTTGCTCACTGACCTTGGTGAGCGGCCGAGCTCTGCACCGACCCTGTTTGCTGACAACAGGGCGATGATTCTCCTGTGTCGTGAGCCTCGACTGGAGAGCCGAGTGAAGCACATCGACGTCAGGTACTTCCTCCTTCGAGAGTTGCAGAGACGCGGACAGGCTCGTCTGGACTTTGTGGCCTCCGAGGCCAACACTGCAGACATCTTCACCAAGGCCCTCCAGCCTTGTGACCACCGTCGGTTTTGTCTGCAGTTAGGCCTCGTTGAGACTGGGTCTAGTTGACTGCTGTAGGGTGCTCTTTGTCTGTTGCTTGCTTGTACCTTATATATATATATATATATATTTGTTTGCACACTTTTGGACTGGCCTTGTGGCCCTTTGCTTGTGCTCAGATTAGGTGGTGACGTTGTGATCCACCCTGAGCTTTGTTTTCTTTCTCTTGTTTTTGACTGGTCTTGTGACCGTATGTTGCTTGTTGTTGATTGGCCTTCCCCACTTAGGCTATGGGGGTGTGTCAAATATTATAGCATGTAGTGGGTTGGGCTATATGGGGTACAACTAGTTAGGGTTAGGTGATGTACCCCAATTCTGTCAACACAACGCATTCCGCTGTAGTTCTTGTCAGAATGAGGAATGAATGTTCCATTGATGTTGGTTGGGGTACATATGACAAACCCTAACTTCTGTACCCCCTAAGACAAACCTCACTACAGGCTACAACATTTGACACACCCCCATAGCCTAAGTGAGGGGTGTCTAGCAAAAAACAAAAAAGAGTACGGTCACAAGACCAGTCCAAAAGAAAACAAAGCTCAGGGTGGATCACAACGTCACCACACACTCTGAGCACAAGCAACAGTGGCCACAAGGCCAGTCCAAGAGATCACAAGTATATATAGTAAAAGTACAAACGAAGCAGGCAATAAACTCAAGTCTACGCATGACTAGAACCTGTGTCAACAAGGCCTAACTGCACACAACACCTCTGGTGGTCACAAGGCGGAAGCGCCTTGGTGAAGATGTCTGCAGTGTTGGCCTCGGACTCTACAAACTCGAAGCGAGCCTGTCCACGCCTCTGCAACTCTCGCAGAAGAAAGTACCTGACGTGAATGTGCTTCACTCTGCTTTCCAGTCGCGGCTCACGACAGAGGAGGATCGACGCCTTGTTGTCAGTAAACAAGGTCGGTGCAGAGCTTGGCCGCTCACCAAGGTCGGCGAGCAAGAAGGTCAACCACCGCAACTCCTGTGCCGCCATGGCACCAGCGTAAATCTCAGCCTCAGCTGTAGAGGTCGAGACAGAAGAGGAGCGCGTGGAACGCCAGGAAACAGCTCCAGAACCCAGACTGAAACAGTACCCCTGAGTAGACCTGTGAGTCTCAGCGTCGTCAGCGTAAGAGGAGTCACAGTGACCAGTGAGTACGACAGACTGCTGCCCTCCAAGAACTAGCCCCACGCCTGATGTAGTCGCTAGGTACTTCGCCACCCTCACAGCTGCCGTCCAGTGAACAGGACGGTGTCTCCCTGGCGCAACAAAGCGCGCAAGGATGCTGAGAGGGAAGGCGAGGTCCGGGCGAGTACAAGTCATCAGGTACATGAGGCAACCCACAAGCTCTGCGTAGGGACCACTAGGCTCAAACGGCTCGTCAGGAAAGGGACCAGTGAGTCTGTGGTCAACAGCTAGAGGTGTGCGCTGTACGGTGGAGTGCTGAAGCCCGAACCGCTGAAGGACGTGCTGCACCATGTGTGACTGTGAGAGTGTAATGGTGCGAGCGGCTCTGTCCCTGGTGATCTGCAGGCCAAGGTAGTGGCGCAGCTCACCAAGATCAGTGCACGTGTGTCTCTTCTGCAGTTCGGACTTCACGTCTGCCAAAGCAACCCTGTCCGGAGTGGCGAAAACGAGGTCGTCGACGTAAACCAGAACAAAGAACGGTGTGGAGCCACGACGAACGAACAGCGACGGGTCGGCAGAAGACGGTTGGAACCCAAGGTCAGAGAGGGTAGAACGCAGAGTGTCGTGCCACTCACGAGGGGCCTGGCGAAGACCGTAAACAGGTCGCCTCAGCCTCCACTGGGTCCCAGGAGGGAAAGTGCCAGTGAAGGCCGAGGGACGACGCAACCAGACCTCCTCGTGTAGACTGCCCTGAAGGAAAGCAGTGGAGAAGTCAAGAGAGTGCAACTCGTAGTCTCTCTGTGCTGCTACGTGTAGTAACACCCGAAGAGTGGTCATCTTCGGGGTAGGTGCGAAGGTCTGAAAGAAGTCAACTCCCTCGCGCTGACTGAAACCTCTAGCCACGTAGCGCGCCTTGAAGACCGGGGGAGATCCCGGTGGCCGCTTCACCCTGTAGATCCACATGCCGTCGACTACGTTCGCCCCAGGGGGGGGAACCTCATCGACGTAGGTGCCTGTGGATCTGTAGGAGGCCATCTCTGCGTCCATGGCAGCTCTCCACTGAGAGGCCCAAGGCCCTGACACTGCCTCAGCGTAAGTGCGAGGAGTCGGAATGTCAAGGGCGTCGGGGTCACCCTCAGGGGCGAGGAGCATGGCACAGAGATGAGGGGAAGCGGCCGCCAGGAACTCTAGCTCAAACTGCCTGTCCTCTAGGGCGTCACAGCCAAGGGCAGACACACCCCCGACGGCCAGAGGACTGGTAGGAGGAGCAGCCACAAGCGTGGTGGCGTAGTCAAGGCGGCGGGTAGAGGCAAAGTCAGTAACTGCGGCAGTAAGAGCGGACACAGAGGACACAGAGGCACGAGGGTGAGTAACAAGAGAGGCGAGAACACGAGAGAGAACAGGACGGTACATGCGGTAGTAGTCAGTGACAGGAGTAGGGAGCGACACAGTGAGGGCCAACTCAGGAGGAGACGGAAGCACAGACTGAGACGGACGAGGTGGACTAGAAAGAAGGAAGGCAGTACGAAGGTCAGTGAAGGGAACAGGAGACGAGGGACGAGCACGAGGGCAGCGACGAGTAGCCCAAGAACGAGACGGAGGAGAAGAGGACAAGGGCGGAGAACTGGGGAAAACAGCGGGGGAGGAGTCAGGAGGAGGAAACGTGGGACCGTAAACAGGAGGAGAGGCGGAGGAGGGAGGAGAAGGGGAGGGGAGACCAAGGATCCGAAGACCCGAGACAGGAGGAGGAAGTGGCTGCTGCTGCTGCGGCTGCGACTGCTGCTGCTGCGGACGCGGCTGCTGCTGGGACTGCTGCTCCTGCGGGTCCAGCTGCTGCTGCTGCTGCTGCTGCTGCTCCTACGGCTCCAGCTGCTGCTGCTGCTCCTACGGCTCCAGCTGCTGCTGCTGCTCCTCCAGCCGCTGTAACTCCCTCTCCTCTCTCTCCAACGCCAACTGCTCGTCACGGGCACGGCGAACACGAGCCTGGTGCCTAGTCGGGTAGGGGTGGGGGGGCGGAGTAGTGTCCGAAGCAGCGGCAGCTCCAGATTCCACTCCAGAAGAACTAGGCTCACCACCCCCAGAGGCAGCACTAACACCAGCTCCAGACCCAGGCTCACCTGAACCCGAAGGAGGCGCACCCTCACCCCCAGACGCAGCACCCCCAGTGTCCGCGCGGCCAGCACCAGCTCCCGGACGACAAGAGTCCTCTGCACCCACCTGGTCAGCTCCAACTCCAAAACCAGAAACTCCAGCTCCAACTCCAGCACCCCCAGAACCAGAAACCGGTACAGGAACAGGCGTCGCACCAACCTCTCGAGAGCTAGCACCAGCGGCACGCTGCGAGGAGGACTGTGGGGAGGGAGGCTGTACCGGAGGGGCTACCAAAGGAGGAGGGGTAGCCTGGGACACACCTGACGGGGCTGGACCAGGGGGGGGAGGCTGTACCGGGGGAGCAGGAGGGGGAACGGCAGTCAGGAAGAGGGGGGGAGGAGGAACCGGGAGACCTCGACCGGGGTACCTGACGTAGTACGGAGTGGACTCCTCGAAACGGACGTCACGGGAGTCAAAGAACCGGTGAGAGGGAGGGTGGTAAAAGGTGAAGTCAGAGGAGTCCTCAGGGAAACCAAGGAAGACACAGGGGACGGCACGAGGCGAGAGCTTGTCCGCGGAGGTGTCGCGGACAAGAGCCAAGCACCCCCAGACACGAAACCGCGACGCAACACCAGGGGACCCTGTCCAAAGACTGGTCGGTGAAACCTCTGGTCGAGAGACACGTGGCCAGAGGTTCAGCTGGTGCGCGGCGTACCTGACCGCGTAGGGCCACAGAAAATGGGGGGCACAGGCGTGAGTCAGGGAGGTGCGGGCGATCTCCATGACCAGGCCTATGCGGCGCTCAGCAACCCCATTCTGCTGTGGGGACTCTGGAAGCGTCCAGGACTGACGAATGCCCTGCTCGCGACAGAATCCAGCGAGAATGCCGGAGCGAAACTCACCCCCACGGTCGGAGTGAAGACAGCTGACACGACGACCACGAGTGTCCTCAGTGGTGAGCAACCACCTGATCAGCGTAGAAGTCACCTCAGACTTCTTCGCCAGAGGGAACACTGTGGTGTAGCGGGAGAAGTCGTCAACGACCACCAGAAAGTAACGCTCACGCTCAGGGCCTAGACGAGGGGCTGGGCCCCAGACGTCCAAGTGAAGCGTCTCAAAAGGCTCGGTGGCCGGACGAAGGGAGGAGGAGTGAGGGGTGGCGCGCAGCCTACCCTCGACGCAGGGACGACACGGCGGCGCTAGCGAAGGCGGCAGCGACGGCAAGACACGTGGGAGGCCTAGGACAAGACGCTGACTAGACATAGCGCGCAGACGAGGAAGGGACGGGTGCCCCATCCGGTGGTGCCACAGAACGGTGGGGTGGGCAAGCGACCGGCAGGAGCACGACGCAGCGTCTGGAACAGACGTAGGAACCTGACACGACACAGACACCTGGGGGGACGAAGCAACCTGGTGAGACGCGGGGACCCGAACGGGGGGGGGAACCGGGGGCAGTGGCAGTAGGTGGGGCTGCTAGTGCGGCCGGTGGTGGTGCTGCTGCTGCTGCTGCTGCTGCTGCTGCTGCTGCTGCTGCTGCTGCTGCTGCTGCTGCTGCTGCTGCTGCTGCTGCTGCTGCTGCTGCTGCTGCTGCTGCGGCTGCGGCTGCTGCTGCTGCTGCGGCTGCTGCTGCGGCGCACGCGGGCCAGTGTGAAGAGTGTAGAGACCCGAGCCCGGCTCAGCAGTAAAGGTAGCAAGAGGCTGGTAAGAGTCTCCGTCAACACACACCGCAGTCTCTCCAGAAGGCTCAAACCACACACCCACGTGCTGACTCACGAGGGGTCGCACGCCCACCAAGTTCCGGGAGAACGAGGGGACGTGAAACCCAATGAGAGACCCGGAGGGAGCAGCAGGACACGGTAAAGTGGTAGTGTGACGTGCAGTGACTGGTCCCGTAGTGGGATCAGCCAACGCCACAGAAACAGGCGCAGGAAGTGGTGTAAGTGTCGTGCTGTCCCGGAAGAAGCAGTGGGAGGCTCCAGAGTCCAGTGTGAACGACAGCGAAGCGTCCTCTGAGGTAGTCGCTGGTCTAGAGTCTACACAAGTACCTACACTAGCAACAGGCAACTGAGCAAGACTAGCACCTAAGCTAACAACACCAGAGTAAACAGAGTCAGAAACACTAGAGTCAACAACAGCATACATAGCATGAGGAGCACTAATCAGATCAACTAACTGCTCAGCAGACATGCCCCACAGAGCGGAGCCGTAGCGCTGAACCAGAGGAAGCCAGTCAGGAGCAGGACCGCCAACCCCGTAGGTCAACCGGACCGTGTCAGTGAGCTGAGCAAAGCACTGACCAGGGGGGTGAAAGCGGCCACAAGGGTGGCCCCGACGAGGACCTGTCTGAACCTGGTAGGGGCAGGGAGGGTAAGCAGCACCGCGCTGGGGCTGACGCAGCCCCGACCCCGGAGCCAGCTGCTGACGCTGCTGCTGCTGAGGCTGCTGGGAGGAAAGGGGCTGCTGCTGCTGCTGAAGGTGCTGCTGACGCTGAGCCTGGTACCACGTCGCTGCTCCACCTAGCGGGGCCGGCAGTACAGGAGGCGACTGACGAGCTCGAGGGTCGCCGCCACCAGCAGGTGCAGTGGAGTCACCAGCCGCTGCACGAGGGGTCTCTCCAGACACTGCACTCCCACCACCGCCAGTCGCAACAGCACCCCCACTACCTCCGCTACCTCCGCCTCCACCTCCACCGGAACCACCTTTCTTGCCCCCCCTGCCGCGGGACCGCGACGCAGTCGTAACAGCAGCCGCAGTCGCGTCAGTAGCGGCAGTGGCAAGAGAGGCAGTGAAGGTGGGTAACTGCGGGACTGTGCACCCGTGGAAGAGTGGGGGGGACACAGTACCAGAGGCGGCAGCTACCGAACGAAGGTTGCTCTCGACGTCCTTGAGTGCAGACTCAAGGACCTCGATAGTCAGCTCACTAGGGTGCTTCAGCAGAAGCGCGTCACGAACGGAGGCAAGGCGGTCAGGGAGGCTAGTGGCGATGAAATAGACAGTAATCCCCATGGGGGGAGGAAGCAGTGCAAGCTGTGCCTCAGTGCAAGCAGCGCGGTAACTAGCGTCGAGCGAGCGGAGGTGAGCGATCAAGTCAGCAGAGCGCTCAAACGAGGCAAGATCAGGAAACAGGAACGGGAGGAAAAGACGGCCGAGAGAGACAGTAGCGGGAGTAGAGTAGCGGGCCTTAATCGCAGTGAGGTACGCAGCAGCGGTGCGAACCTGAGTAAAGTGGACCTCCTCGGACTCAGGGAGGAGGCTGCTGAGTGCGATGCAGGCCGCAGCGTCACGCGACGTCCAAGCCGTCCGGTCAGCGCGCTGACGGGCAAAGCGAGCCGTAGCAGCGTCGTCAGGAGCAGGGCCTAAAGCTGTAGGCTCGGGGGGCTCGGGGAGGTCACCAGTAGCGTGTGACCAGAGGGTCTCGGCCCCCTGGACCTGACTCTCTAACAGACGACGAGCGCGAAGAAGCCAGACGGAAAAGTCAAGGGGTCTACCGTCGGCGTCGAAACGAAGAACTCACGGAGTCGCCATAGTGAGAATTAACGCGAACGAACAGGCGAGTAACAACCGGGGGGGAAGAGGACTCAGTCGCAGCGGAAGAGCGGGCTAGGGGGACGGGCCAAGACCTAGGGTAGGGCAACGGGCCAGGGCCTAGGGTAGGGCGACGGGCCAGAGCCTAGGGAGGGCGACGGGCCAGGGCCTAGGAAGGGCGACGGGCCAGGGCCTAGGGAGGGCGACGGGCCAGGGCCTAGGGAGGGCGACGGGCCAAGGCCTAGGGAGGGCGACGCGACGGGGGAAAGGGCGGGAGCGACGCGACGGGGCAGGGCGACGCGACGGGACAGGGCGACGCGACGGGGCAGGGCGGCGCGACGGAGCAGGGCGACGAGACAGGGCAGGGCGACGCGACGGGGTAGGGCGACGCGACGGGACAGGGCGACGGGACAGGGCAGGGCGACGCGACGGGATAGGGCGACGGGACGGGGGGGGTAACAGGCGGGTGCGACGCGACGGGGGGAACGGGTGCGACGCGACGGGGGGGAACGGGCGCGACGCGACGGGGGGAACGGGCGCGACGCGACAGGGGGAACGGGCGCGACGCGACGGGGGGAACGGGCGCGACGCGACGGGGGGAACGGGCGCGACACGACGGGGGGGAACGGGCGTGACGCGACGGGGGAGATGGCGCTAGGCTCGGTACTAGGCGCGGTAACAACGAAACTGGTACGAACGAGAGGTAGGATCAGGCTCGGGAGGTACGAACGGAGAACGGAGGAACGGGATCCCACAGGATCCTAACCTAGCTGATACCATGTCAGAATGAGGAATGAATGTTCCATTGATGTTGGTTGGGGTACATATGACAAACCCTAACTTCTGTACCCCCTAAGACAAACCTCACTACAGGCTACAACATTTGACAGTTCTCATCCTGACATTACACTCTAAAAAGCGGGGTAGGCTAGGAAAGTAGCTCTGATACCAGGTGTTATGAATGAACTTGCAGAGTGCGCAGTAAAACGAATAACGAGAATGACTGATTACTGAATTACTGAATGACTGAATGACGATACAATGAGAAAGGCACGACTAAATAGGGGAAGTCCTAGCTAGGCGGAGAGGTTGGGTGAGGACGGCTCGGTGATGGTTGCGATTGGAGCGGAGGCCGACTCGGGAGTGGTTCGGTGCAACGAAATAGGAAGGACAGGTTCGTCGCGTGATCCTCGGGATGACCTCGCTAACGAGTGCCTCAGTAAGGATTTGTAAATCCTTACAAGTGACGGGTGTCATGCTCTCCCAGAAAGATGCCCTGGAGGTGTGTACAAAAAAGCATCAGTAAAAACTACTGTCAGTCTCCGGATCTATCGTCCTTAATGAAAAAATCAGCTGCTTTCCACAGATGGCAACGGCTTTTCAACACCAGTCTCGCATCTGGGCTGATGCAGTAATAAGACGTAATGGTCCAATAAATCGGTGCATACAGTCATATGAAGTATTTTATGATGTAAGTGAAAGTTATAATAAGGTAATACAAAACCCCTTCCCGTGCAGCACATATGAAGAATCAAAACATAATAAGGGTGCATTCCGCTGTGGACACATGTCCCAATCGATGTGTCCCAATCGAGTGTACCGCTCCGAACCGAACTAAACCAGAGACGCGAAAATTTCGAAACTAGGGTGCAATTTGGTGTAATACGATGCAGTGCGGTAGAAACGATTGGGACACATCGATTGGGACATGTGTCCACAGCGGAATGTACCCTAAGACAACATTTCAAAAGAATGTTGACCCTGTAGGCGAGCTACCCCATTCGACACAAAACATAAGGCAGCGAGAATATGCGGTAAGATTAAATCAAGCTTCCTCATGAATCCACTGCCATGTACATCTGACAATGTCAAGTGTCATTTGAGGGCACGCTCATACTTTCTTTTTGGGCTCAAAAACGTATTTAATGATGGAAGACCTAATGTCAAGCATCTCTGGGAACTCTGTCTTCAGCTTTGTGGCATCCAGCTCGTTGTTGCTCCGTGCAGCAACAATGACCTTAGCCTGAAACAGCAAAAGTTGTTGATGAGTGAAGCAGCATTAAACACAAAACAGAAAAGTTACAAGAAAGGTGACTTGCCTGCTCCTCCAGGGTGAAGTTTTGCCACTTGAAGTTGGGGTCAATGTAATCCCGGTACAGCTCAAGGATCTGATTATGGCTAATCACTCCAGGGTTGGTGAAGTTGTAAATACCATGAAGACCCCTCTTGGCCATCTCAATGGAAATGGGCAGCAGCTCGTCCAGAACTGTCATGGAGTTCGGGATGTCCACAACCTGCAAACACAGGAAAATATGCGAGACAAGTGAGAATCATCACTACTTGGCAAAGAAAAAATCACCACCAGAAACAGACAACGCCCGACCTTCTGATAGCGGGAGATCTTGGTGATGAAATTTCGCGGGTTGGACAGGTCGGATGAGATCGGCATGCGAACTCTAAGCACACAGACGTTGTCATACGCCTTGAGCATCTCCTCAACCTGCAAGAAATACAATGAAGCACAGTTGAGAATGTGGCATTCAAAGGCCTGAAATTGCAACATGAAAGAAACAGACAGCATAGATTACCATGCCCTTGGTTCTGGAGTAGTAAGAACCGAAGAAATTGGCGCTTTCCTCTTCTGTGAAGCCAATCCCTGTGCCAAGAGGGTGCTTGTCATCGTACTCAAAGATGCAACCGGTTGCGTAGTTCATCACCAGCAAATCATGGTTCCTGCACAGATGAGAAGCGGTAGTCAGCAACAGCCAAGAAATTCCAAGATGGCCGCAAAGACAACCAGATCACAAACCTTGCAACATCGCAGAGCGTGAGCACACCAATGACGTTTGCTCGGAGGGTTTCCACCTGGTGCGACTCGCACCAATCCACATTGGGCCGACCAGTGACACCAGCAGCGTTGAAAATGTGGGTGGGCTGAATCCGCGAAATATCCTCCTCAATAGAGCGCCGATCCTCCAGCCTGCCAGTACCATATTCGTACGCGATGCCCCTCTCGTCACAAAGCTTGCCCAGCAACCCGCCGATCCAGCCAGTTCGACCATAGATCAAGAACTTCAGAGGTGGCTTGCCCTTCACCACCGACGGCGAAGGAATCTCCATGAACTGCTCCGCACGGGGCATCGGTTTCTCCATGCTGTATGACGAGAGCATGCGAGGATGAGGAAGCAAAGCCCCCGACACATCACCCCAGTAGTCGAGATTCTGTTTGTACCAATCAAACGTCTTCCTCAAACCGTCTTCCCACGAAGTCCGCTCATCCCAGCCGAGAGCCTTGAGCTTTTGGTCGTTGAGAAAGTACCGGAAGTCATTGAAAGGCCGGTTCTCGACAAATTCAATGTACTTCTCGGGGTCAAGGTTAAGCATCTTGCAAATGTCGTGGGCCACATCAATAACTCGCCTTTCCCTCAAAGTACCGATGTTGTACACTTGACCCACGGCTCCCTACACAGGGTAAAACAACAAGCCGTCATTGCTGTTAAACGTAAATTTCGAAGGGTCATGTTCTTGTGTTTAAGGATCTTACCTTGTGCAGGACGACATCGAAGGCCTCAGCCACGTCCTCGCAGTACAGATAGCTCCGCACGTTGGATCCATCGCCGTGAATGGGCAAAGGCTTGCCTTGCATGGCGAGCAGCATGAACTTGGGAATCATCTTCTCCGGGAACTGGTACGGACCGAAGACATTGTTGCCGCGCGTTGTGATGCAAGGGATGCCGTACGACTGGCTATATGCCATGACCAGCATCTCAGCGCCAGCCTTGGTGGCAGAGTACGGGTTGGTAGGGAGCAGGCGGGAACCCTCGCTGTTGCCCACGAGAGCGTCAGCACTAGTTTCGCCGTAGACTTCGTCCGTGCTGACGTGGATGAAGCGTTTGATGGTTCCCGCCTGCTTGCACGCCTCGAGGAGCACGTGAGTGCCATAAATATTGTTCTTGGTGAATTCAAAGCTGTTTCCGAACGAGTTGTCCACATGGGTCTGAGCTGCGAAGTGCATGACAGTGTCGATCCCCTCAGTCAGGAGAAGATAGTTCACGAGATCAGCGCTTGCGATGTCGCCCTTCACGAACTTGAAGTTGGGCGAACGCATCGATCCATCCAAATTCCTGAGATTTGAGCAATAATCAAGCTTATCCAGAACCACCACACGGTACTGCGGGTGGCTCCGGACGATCCTGTTGGCGACATGAGAGGCGATGAACCCTGCAGCTCCTGTGATCAAAATAACGTTAGGCGTGTACGTCTCAGCCATGGCGGCTCTCAATTACAAGGGACAGGGAAGTGAAAGCGAGCTGGTGTGACTGACTCAGAATACTGAATATCTTTCCTTCCTTCCACCCCAACAAGACAATTCTCTGCCATCAGGCTGGAAGTTGGGTCTTCCAGCTTGGCATGTATCATCAGATCCGGAAATCTCTCAGGTTGGTCAGTGATGGGATGTGGGGCGGGAGTGGGGTGGGGATCTTCAGCGCCTCGGCGCTTGCGGAGGAGGGTTTGGCGGGAGAGGGTCGCCTTTGCTACTGCCAGAAGCAAAACTAACCACCATTGGTTGGGACTACACCGACTCAAAACAGGCTGCTGATCTGTGACATGACCACTGGCTAACGACATCACAGTAACATCTAACAATGTACTGCGTTAAACTACAATAAATGTAGATATTCATTACTGAGTCTTTGTTACGGGTGCAATGGTGCAATAAAGTAGCGAGAATTGCACCAAGGTGTCAAACGAGTACCAAATGTGAGCTAAGGCATGAGCGAACATTTATACGCGAAACATGCAAACGGTAACGCGGTGCGTGCGAGCTAGCTAGTGCTACGTTGGAAGCGAGGCTCGGGCTAGTCCCGAAGCGTAGGCCGACACGGCCGGTCCAGCAGTGCGAGCTTTGGTAAAACAGTGCGCGCAAAATCGGCGAAGCCCCGTTAGCAGTAATGGGCGAACAACGGCTGCTGCTGTACGCGGTGTTGCAGGGTGCGCTAAGGAATATCGAGAAAATTCCTTACACTACCCCCCCCCCCCCCCCCCTCAAGAAGCCCCCTCCGCTACGCGAGTGCGTGTATATTGCGGAAACCCCGGCTCCTCAGGTACACTTGCAGGGCAAGGTGGTTTTCGATGTTGGCAAGGGGTACCCAGCTATCTTTAGTTGGCGTGCGATCCTTCCAGCGAACGAGGAATTCAATCCTCCTGATTCCCGTGGGGTGTCGAATCCCATGGCTCTGGATTTTTTCGGGCTCGATGATCAGTTCCGATGCAGGGCGAGTCATGGATGGCGGGCGGTGACGAAGCATTTGGCTTGTGGTTGGGATGTATGGGCGAAGCAGGCTGACGTGGAACGTAGGGCTGATGTACCAGTCCGTCGGCAACAGCAGGTGGGTTGTCACTGGGGTAATCATGTGGCTGATTTGGAATGGTCCACAGTAGCGGGGTCGTAATTTTGGTACGACGGACAGTCTTAAGTTCCGTGTGTCGAGAAGTACGTAGTCTCCTGATTGGTACGTGACTGGGCGGCAGTGGCTGTCAGTGTTGCGCTTAGCGATGACATTGGCTTTTTTAATTGCTTCTGCGGCTCTGGTGCAGGCAGCTTGCAGAATTTCGGCGAACTGCTGTGCCCGTGATGTTGGGTCGTCTGGACTCGGCGTCATAGGCACTGTAGGGTTTTGTCCGTAGTTTAAGTAGAGAGGGAACTGCTGTGTCGTTGTTGTACGCGAACTCGATCAGCGGCAGCTGCTGTTGCCAAGTGGTCGGGTCGTCGCACGTGGCACGAATCAACTGCTCCATCGTCTAATTCGTCCGCTCCGTTTGACCGTCGGTCTCGGGGTGGTACCACAAGCAGAACTGTAGCCTTGTCCCGAACTGCTCCCAGAGGTTTTTCCAGAAGTTGCTGGTGAACTTCGTGTCGCGGTCGCTGATTATCGCGGCTGGTATCCCGTGCAGTCGAACGGCGGCTGCGATGAACAGGCGAGCGATTTCTTCGGTTGAGATCGATTTCTTGCACGCAGCGAAGTGTGCCATCTTCGTCAACCTGTCAACGACGACCATAACTGCGTCGTTACCCCCAGGGTTCGAAGGTAACCGCGTGATGAAATCCATGGTAACCTGCTGCCATGCATGCTCAGGCGGTGGAATCGGCTGCAACTGACCCGCCTTTCTTTTTCGCGAGTTCTTCATCACCTGACACGTAGGACACGAGCCCACGTGGTGTTGTACGTCGGTCAACAGCTCCGGCCAGTAGTAATACCGCTGTAGTTGCTGTCGCGTTTTTTCTACCCCGAAATGTCCCGAGGTAATCCCGTCGTGTGCTTCGTGTAGTAACAGTTCCCTCAATAGTGAGTACGCGAATACCCAGATGCGGGTGGTGCCTGTTTTTACGTAATACGCCTTTGGCCTCTGCCAGTTGCTGTGAACTTCCGGTCGTGAAAAACGGGTCGGTATGTCAAACTCATATGCTATAGTCTGTGTAGGTTGTAGTGAGGTAGACAATATGAGGTACAACACTTTTAGGTTTTCCTACTTGTACCCACCTATTTTTCTAGTGCACACATTCCTCGTTCTCTCACATGGTATCAGAGCAGGTTCCCTAGTGGGAATGTTTCCTAGGGCCCACCTAATATCGATTTTTTTTTTCCCGCCCGGAGCGCGCTTCGCCCCTGCCCGAGTCGCGCCCCGTGTGCCTACCCTCGCGTCGCGTCCCCTGCCCTTAGTGGCCCGTCGCGCTCCCTTACGGCCCCGTAGCTGCCCCTCTCACGGCCTCTCACGGCCCCTCTCACGGCCCTTCGTGGCCCCTTCAGGCCCCTCGTGGCCCCTTCGCGGCCTCCCTTCGCGGCCCCTTTCGCGGCCCCTTCATGGCCACTTCGCGGCACCTTCACGGCCCCTTCGCGGCACCTTCGCGGCCCCCTCGCGGCCCCTTCGCGGCCCCTTCGCGACCCCTTCACGGCCCCTTCGAGGCCCCTTCACGGCCCCTTCACGGCCCCCTTGCGGACCCCTCGCGGCTCCCTTAGCGGCCCCTTCGCGGCCCCGCCCCGCTGCCCGTAGCGGCCCCGCCCTGTCGCCAGTCGCGGCCCCGCCCCGTCGCCAGTCGCGCGGTCACCTCGTCGCCAGTCGCGGCCCCGCCCCGTTGCCTATCGCGGCCCCGCCGCGTCGCCCCCGCCTCGTCGCGACGCCCCTGCGGGACCCGCGAGGCGCGGCTCCTGTGCGTCGCGACGCCCCTGCGGGACCCGCGTGGCGTCACCCCTGCCCGCCGCGGCGCCCTGCCCTAACCCGCGCCCTGGAGCAGCCGCCACTGCAGCAACCGCCCCTGGAGCAGCCGCCCCTGCAACAGCCGCCCCTGGAGCAGCCGCCCCTGAAGCAGCCGCCCCTAGAGCAGCCGCCACTGCAGCAGCCGCCCCTGGAGCAGCCACCCCTGCAGCAGCCGCCCCTACAGCAGCCGCCCCTACAGCAGCCGCCCCTGGAGCAGCCACCACTGCAGCAGCCGCCCTTGGAGCAGGCGCCAATGCAGCAATCGCCCCTGGAGCAGCCTCCCCTGCAGCAGCCGCCCCTGGAGCAGCCGCCCCTGAAGCAGCCGCCCTTGGAGCAGCCGCCACTGCAGCAGCCGCCCCTGGAGCAGCCGCCCCTGCAGCAGCCGCCCCTGGAGCAGCCGCCCCTGCAGCAGCCGCCCCTAGAGCAGCCGCCCATACAGCAGCCGCCCCTGGAGCACCCACCACTGCAGCAGCCGCCCTTGGAGCAGGCGCCAATGCAGCAACCGCCCCTGGAGCAGCCTCCCCTGCAGCAGCCGCCCCTGGAGCAGCCGCCCCTGAAGCAGCCGCCCCTAGAGCAGCCGCCACTGCAGCAGCCCCCCCTGGAGCAGCCGCCCCTGCACTAGCCGCCCCTGGAGCAGCCGCCCCTGCAGCAGCCGCCCCTGGAGCAGCCGCCCCTGGAGCAGCCGCCCCTGCAGCAGCCGCCCCTGGACCACTGCAGCAGCCGCCCCTGGAGCAGCCACCCCTGCAGCAGCCGTCCCTAGAGCAGCCGCCCCTACAGGTGCCGCGGAGCCCTCGCCCTACAGTGGTAGCGGCCTCGCCATTCCCGCCGTCGTACCCCTGCCCTTCTCGCCACTGGTGAGCACTGCCCTGCCCGTACTGCTGTTACTACTGCTCTTGTTGCTACTGCTCTTTCTACTACTACTGCTGCTCATGGCGTGGCCAGATGCAGCTCCAGCGCCGTCCGCGTGAGTCCTTTGCCCCCCAACAGCTGCGTGAGTGGTACGCTAGTTGGGGTTGTAGGGGTGGCCGTGCTGCGACTACGGGTATTACACACCTTCACCCTTGACTCGGGTGCTTCCCGCTCCTTCTTTCGAGACCGCACCACGCTTACGCCGCTTAGTCGGCCGGTTGCAGTCTCCGTGGCGGACCCCTCTGGGGGTCCTGTCCTTGCCCACTTCTCCACTGTCTTACCGTGTTCGGTGGCCCCCTCTGGCACCCTGTCAGGTCTCTACCTCCCCTCGTTCTCTACGAACTTGGTGAGTGGTGCTGATCTACAGGATGGGGGGGTTGACCAGTTCACTCCTTCGAGTCAATGGGTGACCCACTGTACGTGTGCTCGGACGGGCCGACACTTGGCCACGTTTATCCGTCAGCCGGGGTCGAGCCTGTACACACTGACTACTGAGTCTCCTCCGGTTGCTGAGTCTGGTTCGGTAGCTGCGTCGGGTCAGGTGTTTGCTGCGGCGTTAGGGTCTGGTCCTGAGTCTGCTCCCTGCTCGTGTCCCACCGGACTCTCCTCTGGCACCACCGTCTTGGTCACCCCTCCCTGCATCGTCTCCGAGGCATGGCCTCCCGTGTCCTTGTCTCTGGTCTCCCCCAGTCCCTCCCTCCCCTCCCTCCGGGGCCTGCCCCTACCTGCGTTCCCTGCGTCGAAGGGCGGCAGCGCGCCGCCCCTCACTCCTCCGTGTTTCCTCCGACAGAGGCTCCGCTGCAGACTCTTCACATGGACGTGTGGGGCCCCGCCCGCGTCCGTGGTCAGGGTCACGAGCGTTACTTCCTGTTGGTGGTTGACGACTACTCGCGTTACACCACAGTCTTCCCCTTGCGCAGCAAGGGTGACGTTACAGAGGTGTTGATCGACTGGATCAGCGCAGCTCGTCTCCAGCTCAGAGAGAGTTTCGGCTCGGACTTTCCTGTTCTGCGTCTGCACTCTGACAGAGGCGGGGAGTTTTCCTCTGCCCTTCTGGGAGCCTTCTGTTGTGCACAGGGCATCCGCCAGACCTTCACGCTTCCG